TAGAAATTTGTAAAGTACATACGGACCTGAATGTAGCAGATCCGTTGACTAAACCTCTCCCTAGAGCAAAACATGATCAACACCAGAATTCCATGGGTGTTCGATTCATCACAATGTAACTAGATGATTGACTCTAGTGCAAGTGGGAGACAGTTGGAAATATGCCCTAGAGGCAATAATAAAATGATTATTATATTTCCTTGTTCATGATAATTGTCTATTATTCATGCTATAATTGTATTATCCGGAAATCGTAATACATGTGTGAATACATAGACCACAATGTGTCCCTAGTGAGCCTCTAGTTGACTAGCTCGTTGATCAACAGATAGTCATGGTTTCCTCGCTATGGACATGGGGATGTCATTGATAACGGGATCACATCATTAGGAGAATGATGTGATGGACAAGACCCAAACCTAAGCATAGCACAAAGATCGTGTAGTTCGTTTGCTGTAGCTTTTCTAAATGTCAAGTATCATTTCCTTAGACCATGAGATTGTGCAACTCCCGGATACCGTAGGAGTGCCTTGGGTGTGCCAAACGTCACAACGTAACTAGGTGACTATAAAGGTACATTACAGGTATCTCCGAAAGTGTCTGTTGGGTTGGCACGAATCGAGACTGGGATTTATCACTCCGTATGACGGAGAGGTATCTCTGGGCCCACTCGGTAATGCATCATCATAATGAGCTCAATGTGATCAAGTGGTTGATCACGGGATCATGCATTACGGTACGAGTAAAGTGACTTGCCGGTAACGAGACTGAACAAGGTATTGGGATACCGACGATCGAGTCTCGGGCAAGTAACGTACCGATTGACAAAGGGAATTGAATACGGGATTGATTAAGTCCTCGACATCGTGGTTCATCTGATGAGATCATCGAGGAGCATGTGGGAGCCAACATGGGTATCCAGATCCCGCTGTTGGTTATTGACCGGAGAGTCATCTCGGTCATGTCTGCTTGTCTCCCGAACCCGTAGGGTCTACACACTTAAGGTTCAGTGATGCTAGGGTTGTAGAGATATGAGTATGCAGTAATCCGAAAGTTGTTCGGAGTCCCGGATGAGATCCTGGACGTCACGAGGAGTTCCGGAATGGTCCGGAGGTGAAGAATTATATATAGGAAGTGTAGTTTCGGCCATCGGAAAAGATTTCGGGTCACCGGTATTGTACCGGGACCACCGGATGGGTCCCGGGGGTCCATCGGGTGGGACCACCCATCCCAGAGGGCCCCATGGGCCGAAGTGGGAGGGGAACCAGCCCATAGTGGGCTGGTGCGCCCCCCTTGGGCCCCCCCTGCGCCTAGGGTTGGAAACCCTAGGGTGGGGGGCGCCTCCACTTGCCTTGGGGGGCACTCCACCCCACTTGGCCGCCGCCCCCCCTTGGGAGATCCCATCTCCAGGGCCGGCGCCCCCCAGGGGGCCTATATAAAGGGGGGAGGGAGGGCAGCCGCACCTCAAGTCTTGGCGCCTCCCTCTCCCCTGTTACACCTCTCCCTCTCGTAGAAGCTCGGCGAAGCCCTGCTGCAATCACTGCTGCATCCACCACCACGCCGTCGTGCTGCTGGATCTTCATCAACCTCTCCTTCCCCCTTGCTGGATCAAGAAGGAGGAGACGTCATCCGCTCCGTACGTGTGTTGAACGCGGAGGTGCCGTCCGTTCGACACTTGGTCATCGGTGATTTGGATCACGGCGAGTACGACTCCATCATCCCCGTTCTCTTGAACGCTTCCGCTCGTGATCTACAAGGGTATGTAGATGCACTCCTCTCTCCCTCGTTGCTAGATGACTCCATAGGTTGATCTTGGTGATGCGTAGAGAATTTTAAAATTCTGCTACGTTCACCAACAGTGCAGTTCACTCTTGTCCTGGCAATTGGTCCAAATGTCTGGCTCTAGCGGAATACTGGTACAATACCTCGTTCCATTCGGCTCTCGGACGCACACCATTCGAAGTAATCTATGGACATCTTCCCAGAGAATTCGGGATTGCGCAGGTGGATGAGTGTGCTGTACCAGACTTGGCAGCGTGGTTGCAAGAGCGAGAAATCATGGTGCAGCACTTGCAACAACAGCTCAAGAAAGCGCAAGACCGAATGAAGGCTCAGGCAGGCAAAAAACGCACTGACAGGGAATTCCAGGTGGGGGATGCATTGCAGCTGAAACTTCAACCATTCATCCAATCGTCGGTGGCTCAACGTCCGCACCAGAAGTTGGCATTTCGTTACTTTGGACCATACCGAGTCATTGCGCGTGTGGGTGCGGTTGCATACAAGCTGCAGTTGCCGCCGTCAAGCAAGATTCACAATGTGGAGCACGTGTCCCAGTTGAAGAAGGCGGAAGAAGCTATGGTTCCAGTAAGTGATACTTTACCCCCTGACAGTGCTATTCTGCAGGCGAAGCATGAACCGGAGTCCATCCTGGAAGAGAAGCTGGTTCGTGTGGGAGGTAGATCAAAACTGTGTCTCCGTATCAAGTGGGGCAACCTGCCTGACATGCTATCGACATGGGAGGATCCAGAGCTTCTTCAACTACGTTTCCCGCGGTCTCCGCCTTGGGGACAAGGCGGCTCTCAAGAGGGGGGGGGGGACTGTCACGGCCGCTGGCGTGACCCCACTGATCAGCGACACGACTACACTAAAGGGCCATGACGAAGCAGAGCGAAGGACTGGCGGTCCTGAGCTGGGCTGACCAGTGGACCGAGCGAGAGGGCCTAGTGAGTGGTGTGGGTGGTGAGGCCTGCGTGCCTGGCTTTATAGCATGTTGGCCGAGTCGATGAGAGGCATCGAGAATTATTGTAAATGAATCTAAAGAGAAATGAAGTTGACCTTCGTCCTCCTCGGCCGATCCCCTTTCCCCTTCCTTCCTCTCCTCCTCCGCTCCAACCCTAGATTGAGGCCCATAACAACACTCTCTCACCACCTAGAGAAAAGAAGTACCAACATGCCATACTATAGGATAATGTAGTACACGCAGTCACCGACATAGAAAATTTCACAAATACACAACTACGAGTTCGATTAGCAGGTGACGCTGAATCACACCGCCGATGGCGGGCCAAAACTCCACACATTAGAAATAAAAAGAAACACAATCCATCATCTCCCGCACTTGCCAAACCAAATACTCCCTCGGTTCCAAAGGATAAGGTGTGTTAGTATTTTGAAAAGTTAAATTTCCTTAACTTTGATCAAGTTCAAAGCCAAGAATATTGACATCGACAATACTAAATAATATAAAATAAAAATTCATTTCATGATGAATCCAATGGTGCCGATTTGATATTATGTATATTGATATATTTCTCTGTAAATTTCGTCAAACTTAAAAGAGGTTTGCCGTTTCAAAAAATAGTACACCGTCTATTTTGAAACGGAGGGAGTAAAAGAAATCTGACTGATTTGCTAAAATAGAATTGCTAAGACTACCCACAGTGGAAGTAACATAGATGATAACATCACACTTATCTAGACAAAATAGATGATGTGGCATGTAATTAATAAAGAAAAAGAGTCATGTGAAAACATAGCTAGTTACAATAACATCACACATATCAAAAAAATATGTGTCTACAACCTAATAAATAAAATGATGCATGGCACAACACATATGTTACTACCCACTGTGGAGATAATAACATAGACTAGTAATATATAACATGTTACTACTCTAAGTTCCTCCGATGTAAGCTATGCGCGTATCTGATATCACGTGTCCAAATTAAATATGAGATCGATCTGGCTGGCCTGGTAAAGGTCCAATTTTTTTACTGCCACCAACCAACCAAATCAGTACTCACTGTCCAGCCTGCAGCTAGCAACAAACCTGCTACTCCCCAGACAAGCGCGATGCCGTCGCCGTCCGTGGTGCGCGTGGTGTCGTCGCGCACGGTGGCGCCGCCGCCGCGCCCGCGCGAGCGCATCCCGCTAACCTCCTGGGACGCCGCCATGCTCTCCGCCAACTACATCCAGAAGGGCCTCCTCTTCCACAGACCCTCACCCTCTTCCTCGGCATCCGCCCTCTCCACCGCCGCCGGCGTCGTCGACCACCTCGCCGCGGCCCTCGGCGACGCGCTTGTCTACTACTACCCCGTTGCCGGCCGCTGCGCCACGGAGCAGCACAGGGACCAACTTACCGGCGCCGTCGTTGGCTGCTCCGTCCACATCGACTGCGACGGCCAGGGCGTGGAGGTCGTGCATGCCGTCGCCGACGGCGTGGCCATGGCGGACATCGTCCCGCCCGACGCCGACGTGCCGCGCGACGTGCTGGCGCAGTTCTTCCAGCTCACCGACGCCGTCAACTACGGCGGCCGCGAGCAGCCGCTGCTCGCCGTCCAGGTGACCGACCTCGCCGACGGGGTGTTCGTCGGGCTCGCCTACAACCACGCGCTCTCCGACGGCACCGCCTTCTGGGACCTCGTCAACAGCTGGGCGGCCCTCGCGCGCGCCACGCTCGGCCTCGCCCCGGCGCCCCCGACGCCGAGGCCCTCGTTCGAGCGCTGGTCGCCGGACGGCGGCGCGGCGGGGCCGGCCGTGCTGCCGTGCGCCGACGCGTCGGAGCTCGTCGAGCGGGCGGCCCCGCTGGCGTTGCGCGAGCGGATGCTGCACTTCTCTCGGCGGACTCGCTGGCGGCGCTCAAGGAGCGCGCGCGGGAGGAGCTCCTGGCCGCTGGAGACGCAGCCGGCGCCGCCGCGGTGACGCGGTTCCAGGCGCTGTCCTCGCTCCTCTGGCGCTGCATCACCCGCGCGCGGCGGCTGGCGCCGGAGCAGGAGACCGTGTGCCGCGCCGCCATCGACAACCGCGGGCGGCTGCGGCCGGAGCTGCCCAGGGAGTACTTCGGCAACGCCATCTACGCCATCGGGACGGAGCCGGCGCGCGCCGCGGACCTCCTGGAGCGCGGGCACGGGTGGGCGGCGGCGGCCGTGGGGCGGGCCGTGGCGGCGCACACGGACGCGGCCATCAGGGCGCGCGTGGCGGCGTGGACGGCCAAGCCCATGGTGTACACGCATCGCTTCTTCGACCCGACCGGGACCATGATGGGCAGCTCGCCGCGGTTCGACATGTACGGCTGCGACTTCGGGTGGGGGAGGCCCGTGGCGGCGCGCAGCGGCCGGGCCAACAAGTTCGACGGCAAGACGTCGCTGTACCCCGGCCGGGAGGGCGGCGGGAGCATCGACGCAGAGCTCACGCTCACGCCCGACAACATGGCGGCGCTCGAGGAGATTGAGGAGCTATGGGCTGCCGTGACCCCGGACACGCCGGAGAAGAAGCCTTGAATCTTCCATGCATGTTACCACTCTGGTCTGCTACTCTCTTTTTTTTTCTTCTAAAAGCTTCGATCTATTCATTTTTTATTCATAGCATGATTACCAGAAATAATAAAAGTCACTCTAAAGCAACGCAGCAGAAAAACTTTCGATCTATTTATGGCACAATCGTCCGAAATAATACTTCCTCTGTTCATTTTTGTAAGACGTTTAAGACAGGTAAAATTGAACTGTTTTGGATGGAGCGATGCTATACACACGATGGTGTGCGAACGATTTGTGAACATCATATATATCAGTCCATCCATGCACGTGAATGAAGTGCAGCCGACGGCTGGATTCGGCGTCGTTCCACTGTCGTGCATGGCGTGTCGTCTGCCCAGCACTATCGTTTTGGATGTTGTTTTAAATATCTAAAACGTTACAAAAGTGAACGAAGGGAGTAAAAGTTATATCAAATATGTAGACCACCCAGTTACGATTATTAAGCAAGTCGAAGATGTGTCACCGTCATTGCCGGAGCCGGGCACAATTTGTTGTCACCACTCTGGTCTGCTACTTGCTAAATATTACTCCCGAAGTAGTGCACATGGTAACCAACATCCACACGCGCTGGTTTCTTTTCACACAACACAATGCAAAGTTCGTTCTCGAGCAAGACGCCTTTTAGCCCATTCCAAGCACTAGAAAAGCACATGGACAAAATCAATACAGCAGGGCTAGCAAAATTTCCCCAGAGAAACAAGCCTTGAATAAGCACCTCATTTCAATTTATATTGGAAGCAGTAAAGCAGGTTTTATTTTACAGGTCTGTGACATGTGTACTATACATGATTTACATAATAATTACATTCGAAACACGCCATATTTCGTGTCTTCTGGAACCGGCTTGGCGGAAGCAGAGAGGCAAAGGCTTAGAACCCGTCTGGTATCCGCGGGATCTATGATCCCGTCGTCCCAAAGCCTAGCGGTCGAGTAATACGGGCTTCCTTCCTTGTCATATGCCTCGACGACTTTGGCTTTGAAGGCCTCTTCATCATCCTTGGTCCACTGCATAACAAAGAAAGTCTCATCTTATACCAGTATTTGTCTTATGTTTACTGAATCCAATAAACGATGCACTATACCTCCACTCCTTGCCTTTTCCTGTTGTTCTTCTCTATTTGGGCGAGAACACCAGCTGCCTGAAATGGTTCAAGAGAAAGATGTGTTAAAACCAGTGGTAGCTTGGCTCTTGTTTGAGGCTTAAAATATCCATAAGAAACCAGTGCAAGTATGTTCACGTGTACAAGAACATGATCGATGTATGCTACCGCAGTTTCCGTTTTAATGTCCAATGCACATGCCTAGGAGACACAAAAAACTAAATAGCCTTTTGATGGACTGAGAGCCTGCTTTGCTCTCATATTGGTATTCCGCCATTCTGCTTTTGTTTTGCCTGGTTGCGCCTCACGAAAAAGTTTCTAACAACCGTGCACAATGTTTCTACAACAAAGTGTAGCATGCTGGCTACTTTTATTTGCAGCTGAGTAACACCTGAGATTCTTTACATTTTGGACTACTAATGCTGCCTAATAACCTATGTCCCTAGGCTTCAAGGGAATTGATACCAAGAGTTACATTTGTGACATCCTTCGCCAGGTAATGATACTAGTAAAATAGTAAGACAATTTGTAGCCAATGACAGGTCCAACAGTCTTACCTGAATGCCACCCATAACAGATATCCTAGCAGTTGGCCACATGAACAAAAAATTCGGGCTGTATGCACGTCCACACATTCCATAATTCCCAGCACCAAAACTTCCACCGACAATTATGGTAATTTTAGGAACCTGTGCAGAAATATAGATATATAGGGTCATGCTATTCATATAATTTTATACTCCGTTTTTTACACAAGTGTAGTGTCAAAAACGCTCTTATATTATGGGACGGAGGGAGTAGAATTTTAGATGTAGATAAAAATACAGGACTAGCTATAGATTCCATAATAGCATTTTGTCCCAAGCAAGTTGCGGTAGGCTAGATATGAAACCCAACAAGAACATACGAAAAACCAAAACGCGAAAGAGAAAAAAAAGAACAGAAAATAAATAGACAAAAGTGCTACTCTGCTCTACTCATGCTATGTCATGTGGCATGCTGTGCAAATGCGGAAGAAAGCAAGACTAGGCCGCTAGTTTACTAAGACCAAGAATGGGAAACAGTAAAAATGTCTGACCTTTGAACAGGAAACTGCCATAACCATTTTTGCCCCAGCTTTCGCAATTCCACTTGCTTCAGATTTCGACCCAACCTATTAAACATTGTCACTGCAAAAGGTTAGAAGGCTCGTACTCCAAAATAAAACCAACTGTTATGTTCAAACTTTAGTATCCCTGACCAACTATTTAGTATGTATGCAGTTCATATTGTTGGACTGTAAAAGATTTTCTCATCCCCAGAAGCTATCTTGTGTGGTTAGAGTTCTTAGGGGTCTTTCCCTCGTACAACCAATGTCAGACTATTCCAACAATCTGCCCCTTCACTCATTTGTGCCTCAATCTGCCCCTTTACTGTAGATGGCGGTCTCTGTGCAGTGGCAGTGCTAGACTTATGACCTTGTGATGTCAACCAACCAAACTCTTGATGACTGTATAAGATGATGAATACAAAAAATTATGAGTATTTTCCACCAGTTCTGATGTTAGTTGACATCACAAACTGTGTGTAGCCGCCACTGTATGTGGCTGACATGCCCCTTCAATATACATGGATGGTCCTCAGGCACCCACGGTCTATTAGGCCTTCAAACACTAGACTCCATCATGCTAGATATGCTAGAACCATGCTTTTTGTTGTTGTTGTTGTTGTTGTTGTTGTTGTTGTTGTTGGAATCATGCTTTCATAACAATTGTTGGGTCATAAAGGGTCTTTTCACCGTCAAAAGCCAACTTGTGAGGTGAGGGGCGTTCGCGATCTCAATTAGGTCACTTTATTTATGACCATGAATTATTATTATTTTGAACCGGGCTAAACCACTTTCCATTGAAATGACGGAAATACAAAGTTTTGTAGATGAATAGGAGGCGGGAAAGGAAAATATTTTGAACATGAATTGAAATGAAAGAATGAACTGAAAAGTAAAGAAGATGCCATACCATGAATCCAGAAATATTTTGAAGGAATATCAAAGGAATATTGCGTTGAGCACACAACTCAATGAAGTGGGTACCCTTTAGTGCCGACTCGGTAAATAAAATGCCATTGTTTCCAATAATTCCAACTGGCTGCCCGCATATCCTTGCAAAACCAGTCACTAGTGTCTGTGTAAATGCAAATGAAACAGATTTGAGTTGCACAACGCACAATACAGAATGCAAAAGGTAATCAAGCATAAGAGAAATCCTTACTGTTCCGTACAATTTTTTGAATTCATCAAATTCACTTCCATCGACTATACGAGCTATTATTGAGCGAATATCAAAAGATTGCTTTGTATCAGCTGGTGCAATTGAACGAAGTTCCTGTACATCATACAATGGTTCTTGGTAATCACAAGCAGAATTGTGTATACTTGCTTCTTTAGCGGCCAAATGGAGGTTCTTCACAATGTTCCTTCCCAGCGCAAGACCATGGCGTTCATCTATTGCAATTTACAGTGCAAAACATGTCTAAGTCGCAACAACATCCAACTAATATGTATAGAAAAAAATGATACATAAGAGGGTGATCTATGGTTTAAGATAGAAACATCCAATGAGTGACAATAAAATGCAAAGTATCAGGGTCTGGAAACTATTTGCATGATCAAATATATCAGGGAAGAAACAAACAAGGGTCTGGAAACTATTTGCATGATCAAATGAATCAGGGCAGAAACAAACAGTACTCTCCAATCTCCATAGAATGCTCAGAGACGACATCTAATAAGGTACTTGTTAATACTTCTTTTTTTGGAACCGCCAAGCTGGACGTGTACCACCGTGGATGTAGAACATGTAAAAAGAAATAATGACAGAAAGAAGCAGAATTTTTACACTAAAAGCTTGCCGGAAATGCATCTTTTAAGAAATTAAGCAGACGATCCTCCATTCGTTATATCTAAAAGAGCAGTAATCGAGTCGTATTATGCAGCAATTTGTGTTAAAATATACCTTGTGCAAAATGATCAGAGACTCCTGATATTTTACAATGCACTGATGCTCCACCAAGGTCCTCAGCAGATATCTCCTCCCCCGTAGCAGCCTACAGAATTGGCCATTTAGACTTGCACATGTATAATTTAGATATTTTCCCAAGATCGTAGGCAGACAATACTAACCTTTACAAGGGGTGGACCAGCTAGAAATATTGTTCCATTTCCCTTAACTATTATACTCTCATCAGCCATTGCAGGAATATAAGCCCCGCCAGCAGTACAAGAACCTAAAACTACTGCAATCTGAGGAATACCATCTGCAGACATCTTAGCCTGATTGTAGAATATTCGACCAAAATTATCACGGTCGGGGAAGACTTCTGCCTGCTTGGGGAGATTAGCACCTCCACTGTCAACAAGATATATGCAGGGCAATTTACATTCAGAAGCTATTTCCTGCGCCCGCAGATGCTTTTTGACAGTGATTGGATAGTATGTACCCCCCTTTGTAGTTGGGTCATTTGCCACGAACATGCATAGTCGTCCATGAACAGGTCCTATGCCAGTAATTATTCCCCCTGATGGTAATGCTTCCTCATAAACATCAGATCCTGCAAGCTTTATCGCGAAAAGTATCATCAGCAGCTCATAGTCCACAACAAGTTGGACAAGTATGAAAACATTTGTTTCTATTCTGAAGCATCCTACCAGATAACAATATGGGTTGGAAGACAATGGCGTTCTGGTCAATTATTTCACATAAACGAATATCGTACTGAGACTTGCATCCAGTGTCTTTTCTGATGTAATACTTAGTGCATTCGTGACATCCATGCTGCTCTATTAAATTAAGGTATTTAGGAAATCAGGATGCGTCCTTAAAATAG